GATATAGATATAAATAAAAAAATATTCACAGGTCTGCTGCAACGCTAGCTGGAGGCACAAAGCTCACCTAGAGGCATCCCTCCAGGGAAGGAGGAGAGACACAATCCATCAACCAATCCCAAGCAAGCAGAGGTGTTTCCCCCTCTCTCTCTTTTTCTTTTTTTGCCCCCAGACCCCTCTTCTTTTATGTTGTAGATGGGGTTTTGATGGTTATCATACACATACGGTTCTCCTCCATCCACTAAGGTGGCAGTAAAGGCTGTCTGATCTTCGCCAGAGAGTCTTTGAGTACGTCCTTATCTCCTTAAAGGACCATGTTTATAACAAGACTGGTTATGCTCAGTGGAGAGAAGGCTAAAGGCTGGTGCAGAGATGTGGGTGCTCTCCTGTGCTTCACTGAGACAACACTGGGTGTGAGACCTCCACCCCAGGCATCATTCAGTCCTTATGTCTTGCTAGAGCCAGGTGCAGACTAAGCAGGGGCACATCTCGTGTTTTCCTCAAACCAGCCTCATCAGTTCTTACTGACTTAAAGCAACTCTGCAGCAAGTCAGACAATTATATATCTGTGTTACATGGCTGTGGTACGGTTCCTTGACTTGCTGAAACCAGTGGCAAAGCCCTGTTTTAAGCCATCAGAATCAGACCCATCGAGTGGGTATACAATCTCATGTTGTGAACATGTAATATTTTGCTCTGTGTTTACTGAAAGGAAAGAGAAATAATGATCTCAGCATGCCATCTGCCAGCTCTCTGGCTGAATGGAACAGAGTATGTCAGTCAAAGGGTGAGATATGTCTTTAAACGACCTTTGTGGATTTTAGTGGGGTTTTGTTGTTGTTGTTGTTCTGGCTTTTTGGGTTGCTTAATAAAAATATTATGTATGCAAATTTATAGCATTTGTGCAGGATGTGAGGTATTAACATATTTGTAAAAATTAAGAGTCCAATTAATGTTTCCTCTTCAAAACTTTAAAATTAGATGGCTCCTTCCTTTTTTTTTTTCCTTCTACAAATGACCTAGAACAGTGAAAAATCATAGATTTACATTTCAGTACTTCTCAAATAAGTAACTAGTGTTTTCAAATAGAGAATATAGCAGAATTGAGTAACTTGCAAAACAGAAGTGACTTTCAAAGGTCATATAATTTTCTCTGTGGTTTGTAGCTGCACATGGGGTAATGCTCATGAATGATTTTGTATCCTCCAAATAAAGCACTGAACAAAGCATTCAGTGTCAGAAATCTTACTTGATGACTTGCAGAACTGTGTTATAGAGATTTAAAACAGAGAACCAGATACGGATTTTGTATGCCATCCTTTTGGCTCCCTACAGCAGAAGGTCTACTGGAATTTATACTACTATCCAAAACCTATTCAAAAATAGAAAAAGCTAATATAGTATAGGTTGGACCAGCCCAGCTTTGTAAGGAGACATACCTAACCCCATAGTCACTGAATAGTCAGTGGAGAGAAAGAGGCTCTCCCAGACAGTAAGTCATCTGCTGTCTTTTAGACACGTCTTAGGGTGAGATGAATCACCTCCCTTTCTGCTTTGACTGAGCCAAATGTGGTTAGACAACCTCTCACTTTTAAGGCAGTAGAAATCTGGTAAGGTTAATGCCAGTCCCCAAGATTTATTTTTTTTTTTGTGATGTTAATATAGTATATTTTGCCTTTGATCTGTTTTGGCAAATAAAACCCTTCAGAGGAGAGATGCATTTCCAGCAGTCCTGACTCACCCAAGGTTCATATGGACTCCAGTGGGAGAACAGGGTGAGAAAACACTGCAGGACTTCTGGAAAGTGAAGTGTTTTCCTTTCCCTTATTAGTGACATTTTGTTCTACCTTTCCATTCCCTTTAATCACTGGCTAGAGATGATGCCAGCAGACAGTTAGGTGTTATCCCCAGAGCCCATGGACTGTCACAATAAATTCTGTGAAAAGACATAGTTTGATTAATGTCTGTTGCAGGAGCTGAAGCCATCGCTCTGTAACAGAAAAATACTAACAATCAACTACTGCACTCTGTTCCTCTTATTTGGCAATGTAATAATTTCATCATTTTACCCATAACACAAGTAGTTGGGCTGGTGCCCAGAAGAGCTGCAGCAGAGGAAAGGGTACCTGGCCAGTCACTGTTGCTGCCCCACAACTGCTTTCCTGCCTTGGTCCCTTAATAAACAGCAGGAACAACAGGATTGAGCACAAGCTTCACAAAGTTGACAGGAGGCTTTCAGACTCCTACTGGGAGCTCAAGGAGTGGATTGATGCCATCCCTCCTCCATGACTATTTGTGAAATCCATTCCTTATTTCTCTCAGCATACTGTGTAACTTACATTTTAGCATGGCAGCTGTTAAGGTCCTTAGTGAAATCAGTTTAGTTGTTTACTACTACACCCTCCCACCACAGGCAAGAATCTTGGCAGCTCAGAAGAGCTTTATAGATGATGTAGACAAATTGCTGAGCTCCAAGTCCTGCCATGACCATAGTAAAAATTGTCCTTAGCTTGGAGTGGCAGGATGGATTTTCATGGATCCAGGTGTTTGCCTGGTGTAAAGACTGTGCAGGAAATTTTGTCGTCTATGTGCTTCACAGCGTCTACCAGGCTGCTGTCATGGGCTTTGAGCATTCAGAAGTCCACATGTCCATTGACTCCATTAGGCTGTTTAACAATGTACACAAGTCTGATACCTTCCAAAAGCTGTTGGACTTGCTACTGAGGTGCACGGTGTTGGCACAGTGTGTACGTCAATAGCCCCAGTGCCTTGGGGAATCAGCACATGCCCTCCGTGCTGTGAACAGCCTGTGTATTCAGTGCATCTGGGCTGACTTGCTAACCCCGTACAAGTTTAGAACAGAAGAACGTCCCATGGCTCAAAGAATATTTGTCTCGATACAAAACGAGAGACAACAGACAGACTGTTAGAGGACTGCAGGGAAACATTAAAAAAATATAGAAGTCGGTCAATCAGTTGTTAGTCTTAGCACACTGGCAGCTCCGGCTTTGCTGCAATTCTGTTGCTTTTATGTGGGCTTTTAGGAGAGTGATGAAGTAACTCGCAACTGCCAAAGCCAAGGAGGGAAAGCTCAAAGTGCTTTATTTGAGAATTGAAGAACTAGGGAATGGGGATTGCTGTGCTGGGTTGATCAGAGGCAGAAAGTGACACCTCTGAGCCAGATGAGAAATGTTAAGCTGACTGAGGTATACACACAAAAGCATTTTGAAAAAGAAGGAAGAATACTGATGCCCAGTGTGATTACGTACACCAGGTGGTTTAAATCCGATATTTTGTTGTTAAAACATGCAGTTTCATTTCGGACCTCGCCTGTCCCTAGTGAGATCAGTGCTGAAACTTTTTGTTCCATTGGGTTTTGTTTTGTCTATATGTTTATTCATTTGAATGATCCCTGTCTGTGGTATGAGGATCCACAGGGCATGGATCAGTAGTAGAATGAGGCCTCCAGTGATTCATGCTAGGCAGAGATATTCAGGCTACTTTCTCTCCAGAATTTACATGGGATGGATGTTTCCTGGTCTGTCTAACACTTTAAAGAAAATTAATAGCAATTCCTTTCTTCAGTGGAACAATCTTAACAATCCCTCTGCTATCACACTCAACACATTCTGCATAAAAACATGATATAATACTCTTTTTAATGGTGATTTCTTACGCTTGCTTCATCGTATCAGTAAACATGTTGACAAGACTGCAGCTGTCTTTTGCAAATTCAGTCCACTGGTGTGTGGAAAGCCAGCTCTGTTGAGGCGTAGCACAGACCTGGGGAATAGCTGAGCTTCTGCAAACGAATTGACATTGCTTTGTAGAGCACTGCAGCTAGACATTCTCACTTTGACATAACAGCCCCATGTAATTCTTCATTTCTAGCTCTGAGTTACCTTTTGACAGCCTCTGCATGAGGCACTAAATTTGCTTTTGACTGATTGAGGCCAAGTAGATCACAAATCACACTGTCACATCTGGGAATTCATGAGTTTTCTGCTCTGTAAAAGTACTTCACCTCTATAAATTGACCATATGTTTGCTGGAAAGATCTAGGTTTGACAAAATCAGATTTTCTATTTTTATTTGTTTTATCTGATTTAATAAGTTTAAAGTAGAAAATATCTTCTCTGAGTATAATGGCAACACTTAGATGAACTAGTTACATTTCCAGTAGAGTGTCATAATGTATGTTACATTTCACACTTTCATGAAAGGCATATCAGCTTAATTAGGGGAATAAAGCACAAATTATTACTTTTCCTGTCTTCTGGTATAGAACTTCAATGCTTTAAAAAGCCCAGAAATGTTCCTTTGCTTTAAAAGTATTGTTTTATGAAACAAATGATTTAGCTGTATATTTGGGTTTGGGTTCTCCTTGTTGCTATTATTTTTCATGAAGCAGTACAGCTCTCTTCCAGTCCTCAGCCTGTCATTTCTTTTGTATGTCAAGTTTTCCACTGCCAGGATGTGTCATACCTCACCCAGTCAGTTGTTCTGGGTAGTTCTGGGTTGGTTTTCTGTCCATGATTAATACAGCCCTGGAAGTCTGACATCCCTCTTAATAATATGTATAGCTAGTACTTTCCTTCATTCTAGGGAAAGTTTTTATCGCACCTATATCTTTTAGTCAGAGGCTGGATGGAAAACTACTTTTGGGGCAAATGCAGTAGTAATAGAGATCACAGTCAGAGATAGATTAAGCATAGTAGTAATATGGAAGCCAGGGCTCTGCAAGTGAAAGCTGTTTTCTGTGCATAATTTTGGGGGCAACTGTCTGATGTACAGGTAATGAGCAGATGTACAAGTATTGACCATCTCCCATCTTTCAAGGGAGATAGAACTCTTTGTTTGGCTAGTTTTCATTTTCTTAGCCCGAATATTTTCATACAAGGTAATTACCAATATCCAGGAAAAGGAGGGTTGGTTGGGGCTTTTGTAATATTCCTGTGGTGTGACACAGCAATTGCTATTTTTCCTATGTTATTCTGCAGGCAGTGTCTGTGTGACAAGAAAACCACTTAACAATGAAAAAATTCACACTGTTTGATTTTGTAAATGATAATTCACTGCAAATTGGAGAGACTTCATGGATACAGGACCTTCCCAGTGATGACAATGAATTAGAAAGACTTCTGAAGCCAAATGAGCATGTGCTAGTAAACTGGCCTGTGGGAGAAAGGAAGACAGAAAAGCACCTGGTGAAAGTTGTGTATATGAGTGGTGAGTGCAGTTCCAGAGCATTTATCTGATACAAAATCTAGTTGTAAGGTATTACTACTTGATTGTTGGCCTTTGGCCTTTTTTTTTCCCATCACTTCAGATGATCCCCAGGAGCTGGTGGAAATGATGCAAAAGATACTGCGAGCAGATGAAATTACAAAAATACAAGTCCTTGGAAAAGGCAAGAGGAAGAGGATAGAAATGATATTCTCAGAAAGTGAGGACAGTGATCTGGATAAAGAACAGGTGAGTTTCTGTCTTTTTGTGTGTGATATTGGTAGGCCCATAAAGGAATGAAATAGACTGTAACTATTGATTCTTCACAATATAACACACAAAACATGTATGGTAAAGGTAGGAGGAATACAGGTAGTCTTCACATGGTACCTCAGCACAATAACCTGTCAGAGTAATTAGGCCAATAGATTTTGTCCTTTGCTATTAAAAAGAGTGTTATTTAAGACATGGATGCTCTGTAACTCCATTACATTTTCTCCCATAAGACAGAAATCTGACCAGTGCGTAAAAAAGGGAAGAGACCAGGTCTTCTGAGCTCTGCATTTTGCCAAGATCCACAGTCACAAAATGTAGGGAAGAAAAACATAAAACTTAACAAAAAGTTACATACATATTTTTTAAAAATACTAAGAATGTCAAGTGCACAGTGAATAAAAGTTTATGTTATACTATGAGATACTGTATTGAAAGGCTCTATAGGAATGCAAAGGCACTGTTATGCACTTGTTTACAGGGGAAGATGAGGAAACATATAAAAAGAAAGAAATCATTGCAGGCATCTGCTCCTGCCAACATCCTGAGTCAACTTGAAACATCTTTAATTAACAAACAGGTAAACATCCATCTTCAGCAATTTTAATGTTTTAAGCAAAAGCAAATTGAAATGTATTCGTTGAGAGGGGCATAAGAGTTTTGTTTCAGGGAAGTTTAGTGAAGTCTAAAAGACGCTATCTTGGAAAATTGGTGAATGGAGAACAGAGACAAAGGTGCGTAACAGTTACATATTACACTGATCTTTCATTTTTAATCGTAATAGGAATAGTAATAGCTGTGTTCAGTAACAGCTTTTATTAAAATGCACTCAGTCTGTTTATACAATCTGTTTATACAAGAGAATGCTTTGATTTAGCCAGATATTCTAATGTTAGTTTCAATGCTTTAATTTTCTGTTGTCGTGGCTCTAGATAGCATGGCTGTTTCGTTTTTTTTTTTCAGAGAGAACCATATTCAGAAAGCAACTTTCTGTATAGTGAAAGCAGCAGTGATGATGAAGAGCCTTTATTTCAACTGTCCAAGGTAGAACTGTGTGCCAAAATTAAAAGTCTCAAGAGGAAGCTGACAGACACCATGAGAGAAAACTGCCGCCTAAGGCAGTCCCTGGTGATGCTTCAAGGTAAAATCAGGAGTATTTTGATGAAAGGAAAGCCTGTAGTTTGATTTATAAGAGGCCATTTGGCTGGAAATTATGGATGCTCAAACACCTGACATGATCAAGGCCTGCCATTAGCATCAAAGTCTTTGATACATGGCAACATTTAATTCCAGCAGCACTTACTATCTTACACGGAGGCCATGTAATCATAGAGTTAGAAATGGAAAAATCTGTCTAAATCCTGTCAGTTGTTCTCAAGAGAACCTTTCCAAAAGCTGCGTATAACCATCGGCTAAGCTCAAACGCTTCACTGACCAGTCCAACTAACCTTATTTATTAGCAGTTTTTCTTGATCTGCTGGAATTTTGTTTATTCTGGAATTATTTAATTTCTAATTACTTTTGTAATTACTCATTATTGATAATCTGAGTTAGTTCCAGGTGCACCAAATTTAATCCTTTCCCAGAGGTGAACCATTTTGTTCTTCTATAAATGAATCCATAATAATCCATATAAATGATCACTTAGTGATAATTTCTGAAGCCCCTCTCACTTGTTCCTGTCCCTTACTCTGGCGCAGCCAAGACAAAATCCAAAATTTCAAAACATAAAACTTAACAAAAAGTTACATACATATTTTTTAAAAATACTAAGAATGTCAAGTGCACAGTGAATAAAAGTTTATGTTATACTATGAGATACTGTATTTAAAGGCTCTATAGGAATGCTGACTGATTAAGGTTTAAAGAGGATTTGCTCCTCCCCTTGCCAGCTACACCATGCCATCCCTAGACAGCCTAGTATCTGATTTTTTTACTGTCATATGATTTTGCAACTGCTTATCAGTTTCATTGCCCACCTGACTCCATTATGTTATTCATCTTGGTTTGAATCATTCATCTCCACCTTTTTAAATATTATTTGTAAGCATTTTCTTAGTGTCTGACAACTTTTCTCACACATTTAAGTCCATTTTTCTTGCATCTTAAGCACTTGTAGTAGTCTTTTACAGTATTTGCTGTAAAGGTCCAAAAACTAAAACGATCTTAATTTTGGGGTAGAAACTGGAATCTTTGTTGAACACACGAAACACTATTTAAGGGTCTCGAGGGCAGAATATGGTAATGAGGAGGTCAGGTTATGCCAGCTAGGGGACTACCCAATTGATTAGCATTTCCCATATCCAGGATTACATGTGGGGGGAAGAGGATTAGTATTTCCAGTAACCAGGATTACACCTGGGGGAGGATGGTTACATTTCCCAAAACAAGGATTACAAGAGAGGGGAAAAAACAAAGGGGCTTCTGCATGGACTGATAGCATCATCACAAAGTCTTTCCATATCCTGCTGCTGGAGATAGGACAATGCACATGGTTGAATATCATTGGGTCTTGTCTGGTCCTTAGATGATGGAATTTCCCTTAGCTCCTGTTGTCCACAGCCTGCTACATAATCCTAGCAGTTCCTTTTCTGCAAATACCCTTCTGAGTTTTTGGATTGCTACAATTTTCTGTAATTTAGTGATTCTGTATCTTGCTGATCCATCATCCCTTGGATCCTTTTTGTTCCGAATTGATTTTTCTTAATGGACTTAATAAAAGTTTATATTTGAAAATAAATATTACTTGGAGAAAACGTTATTTAAAACATATTCTTTATAGATTAAAAAAATGGAGAAGTCTCTGCAGTCTATGCAACTTCTTCGAAGAAAAAAGCATCAGATATTACTTAGCCCATATTCAATAGCTTTACAGACTTCTGGAGATTTTGAGATAGTAAAAAGAGAAATAGTCTGCTTAGTGCCATGATGGGCATAAACTAATAGTTCCCCTTAGCCTTGCACAGAAATGATCTATCCTAGAAACTAAGGCCTGATCTTCATGACTGGGGACAGCAGAATGATGGGAAAGCATTTGGGAGAAGAGGAAAACAGTATGTTGAAAAGCCTTTGCTGACTACTTTTGCATTATGACAGGAATCTAATTGCAAAAATATACATGCTTATGCCATTAGAGTCTGAAAGGTTCAATTACTATTTTACCCCTGACTTTCTGTCTGATTTCAGTCTTGCCACAGGCAGTCACTCATTTTGAGGAACTGGTAGGGATGGCTGAAGCACTGCTCAAAGGAGGAGTGACATCATCTACGTCCAGTCTGCACTCACATGCTGTTTGGAAGGCATCTCACAATCCATTAGCAGATTCCTATGCAGCTATGCATAGTAACTCCAGCTCACCAGTAACTTTGAATGTGGAAGATGAGGAGCAACAGACCGAAAAACAGGTCAGTTAAAAGGCAATTTCAGGCACAAAAATTAAAACTTTATACAGTACAAACTTCACTGTTATAGTACAACAAATATAAAAAATAGCATCAGGAAAAATCATTTTGTCATCATTCTGTTGATTACGTGACTAGTGAGCTCCTTCTGAGCAGAAGGCTCTTTTCATGCAAAGCACTAGGTTTCATCCTGTACACTCTGAAACTTGCTTTAATTTCAGTGACCTTGCACATCTGTGTCTAAGGGCAGAATGTGGAATGCATGAAGAAAATACTAGGGATAACTTCCAGTCTAATGGTTTGGATGCCAAAGGGGAATGGTAGCATTTCAGAGATAGAATCTAAGAAAAATACCAACGGTCTGTTTAAATTGTTAATTTGTAAATGGAGGCTGGTATTGTTTCTGCAGTTAAGTAGAAAAATACAAGTATATGGAGAAAGTGAGTAAAGAAGTTCTCCTATTCTCTGTAATTATAACAGAACATGATTGAGAAATCTGAGGCACAACAGCTATACATGAAAAAAAATCAAGATGCAGCCAAAAGAATACTTTCAGCTTCTGCATGCACAATTTACATAAACATTCTTATGCACTGGGTCATGTTAATCCATTCAAATCATTCTCGTGTGTTGTCATGGGGAGCTAAAACCCAAAGAAGTCTATTTAGAATTATCAAGGTATGATGTTTTGACTGCTTATTGTAATATACAAAATTTGACCTAACATTTTCAAAGAAATAAAAAGACCTAATTTTCTAAGCAACCTGCCTTACTTAAAAGAGGTAGCTCAAAACTGCTGATTGGGAGAGTTCAAATTTAGGCTTTACCACTGCTTTGTGTAGAAGGCACTGTCAAAGCTCAGTACCAGATGTCACAGTTCTTAGGGCATGTGTGCTCAGAGGCAGGAATATTAGCTTGGGCATAGTGCCACGCTACTGAGGCTGTACAGAAACCATGCCAGAACTGGACCACAGCCAGCCTGCATGGAGTGCAAGCAGAAGGATTTTGATATGTCTGAACATGTCCTGTCTCCACTAGTGAGTAATAAGGATTGCTTGGTGAAGGGTTTTCTAGGGTGGATGGGGTCCTTAGTCTGCGCCACAATGCTTCTGAAAAAAAGCTAAGGTGTATCTGTAGTTCCAAATGCTGAGTGGTATGCAAGTTTAGTGTTAATCTCAAGCACATGGTTTGCAGAGATTACTTCTGAAATTGTGGTTTAAAAATAGAAAATTAAAAAGATATTTCAGCAATAATACTATATAATATTTCTAGTAAACTGCAATAGTTATGCTTATGACCAATTTTGTTTTCCAGTTCAAGATCGAAAAGTGGCAGATCGCACTTTGTAACAAAAGCAAACCTCAAAAATTTATAAATGACTTGATGCAAGCACTTTATACACATGAATACATGGCTACACACAGCCTGACAGGTGCAAAGTCCTCCTCTTCAAAGGATAAAGCGGCAAAACCAGCTATGAATCAGAATGAAGTTCAGGAAATCATAGGTGATGACTTCTTAACATTACTCAATGTGGCACTGGCTTGACAGGGGGCTTTCTCTGAGGGAGGGGCTGTAATGCTTAACAGCTGGTCTACTCAGGTGATGGACTGTTTTGTATTTCCTTCTCCAGCTACATAATTTTTTAAACCATCTGTTACAAATACTGTCAGTGAAATGCTAAGTAGTAGTATTTCTACTGTGTGAGTTTTGCAGGTTTTATTTATGTACCTGCTCAGGCACAGTGATATTGTGAATTTTTTAGCCTTTGAAAGGTTAATCTATGACAATCAAATTTGGAGCATGGTGATAACGGATAAGGGAAGGCAAAAAGAGGACACACTTGGATCAAATTTAAAATTATGTCTGCTGTGTTCTGAAGTTAGTGAATGTTATGAATTCTGACATTTTAAATAGCGCTAGAGGCAAAAGGAGACAATAAGTACAGAAGACAAGAATAGTGATCAGAGAAGCAAATAAAATTTGTTCTATGCTGAGGTTTAAGGCAGAAAATATTTGATGCATAGGAAAGAGAATAAGGAAGTAGCAGCTTTAACAAAACAGTATTTTGTGAGGACATGAAGCCTGATTTTTATTGCATTCACACCTATAGTTTAATACTTGAACAACATAGCCTAAATCTGTTATCCATTCTCCATTGCCATTCCCTAGAATTTCCCCACTTCTCTCGGTTCCCTTTCCAGCTTAGCTCCAGTTCCTATACCCTGGTCCAGTTTTGTTGAAGTTGGACAGCAGTTTCAAAAGTTATCAGTTGCAAAAACCTCTTTTCCTTAAGAACTTAGCTAGAGAAAAAGACCCAAAGTCAAGAGAGATAAAAGTAAACAGTGTGTAAGATAGTGAAAATATATTTAGAGGAAGTAAGACGAGACAATTTCAGAATGTTGTATGAGAAAAATGAAAAGGATTTCGTTGGTTGAGAAGAATGGTTGGACTCAATGAATTTAATAGTCTTTTTTAAGCTAAATGATTTTATGATTCTAAATGCTACCAGTGACTTTTCTAAAGGTGGATTCTGGGGAAGGATCTAGGCAAAACTGAAAAGGGAAGCAGAGAAGATAATCAGGACATGGAATACAGCATGCTGCGGAGCATTCAGTGACAAAGCCTATAAGAGAAATCAAAGAAGTCTGTTAAAGTAGAAGAGAACACTGGAATTCAAACTGAAAAGTGTCAACATTATATAAGAAAAAAAGAAATATTAGAAAGAAAGCTGGGAGTTCCAGAACTGTAGAAAATGAGTTAGCAGATAAGATTATTTAAAGAAATGGAAACTGTAGGACTTCAAAATAAAATGAAATGATAAAGGGTGGGGAAATCCAGGGGAGGGAAGATGGAGAAGACAGGAGCAGGAATCATATTCCTCATGTTGAGTCCTGTTAGTATTGCATTCAGAAAATTTAGCCAGGCAAAACAGAAGGGAAATTTTTAGAAAAAGAGACATCATCTGCAAATGAAAATTAATGAAAAAAAAAAAAAGTAAGATTCAGAGGCATGAGGACTGATGTGGGTAGGAAAAGGACTCTCTGATCAAGAACAGAACAAAGGGTGGGAGGATTAGCAAACACAAATCACTCATTACAGGAAGCCCTTGTGGCCCTGGAGTTCCTTTCGAGTCTGCCAAAAGCAGGCACAGCAATATGGAAGGCACAGAGAAAAGCAAGAGCTGGCATCTGCAAAATCTGTGAAACAGTTTGTAAAGACAGTGAAGTAACTAAATCTGAAGCTGAAGTAGCTGGAAATTTAAAAGGTGAAAGAAATGGATTTTAGATCACATATCTCTTGTTTCCCTGATTTGGAGGCCTCATTCATATGATCTCTTTATTTTGCAGGAATCACAAAACAGTTGTTTCCAAACACAGATGATGCTTTAATTAGGCGAATGATGGGACAAAAACTGAACAATTGCACCAAGAAGCCAATTTTAAGCAAAGATCTTAACTCAGGTGCTTTTCAGAAACAAAGCTTTTGGTAAGTTATTAAAAAAAAAAAATAACCTGTAAGGTGTAATTCCATATATTACTCCGTAGTTACAAAACCCAAAAACACTCTTAAAATCACAATGAAAATGCATATTCATATATGCATTACCAAGTAGATAAATATTTCCATAAACTTGTACAAAAAGTATGTAACACAGAAGCTTAACATTACAGCGCAAAAAAGTTATTGATTCTCGACAAAGCAGTACAAGACTATTAAATTACAGGAAAAGAGTACAGAAGGAAACATATAGAGTTGTTTTGCTGAATATATCTGTTTTTAGATTTGGCATTACTTACTTTTCTTATTATTCTTTGGCTCTCCAGAGACCAGTCAATTCCATTTTCGTGTCACCTGTTTTGCTCCAATTAACCCACAAGTGAAGATAAGGAAAATCACACCTATTTTGTACATATCGATAAAAGTACCACAGGAGAGCTAAATTAGCAATCATTCACTGGCAGAAGAGTGAATGATTGGGGCAGAGGAATTATTAAATAACATTCTACTTATTACGGGCATTTTTACCTTGTGAATGAAACTAATCTAAAATTGCTGGTGAAGTCAGCTAATGCACATATGACAGAATGGTTGAGGCTGTGAGGGACCTCTGTAGATTGGCTAGTCCAACCCTGCTACTCAAAGCAGGGTCACCTAGACCAGGTTGCTCAGAGCCATGTTTGGCTGAGTATCGGCAAAGATGGAGACTCCACCACCTCTCGGGGCACCCTGTGCCAGTGCTTGGTCACCCTCGCAGCATTTCCTGATGTTCAGACGGGACCTCCTGCGTTCTGTTTTTACCCATTGCCTCTGGTTCTGCCACGGGGCACCACTGAGAAGAGGCTCCATCTTTTTTACACTCTCCCAGTCAGACATTAATGCACATAGGTAAAATCTGCTTGAGGCTAAACAGTCCCAGCTCTCTCAGCCTCTCCTCAGGAACAGGATAAAAGGTGAACAAGGAACAGGAGAATAGATTAAAATAGGAAGACAGGGAAGAGAGATTTGTTCTTACTTAGGCTTTCTATACTGCAGTAACATTTTTCTTTTTCCTGGTTCAATCATCTCCTGCATATTTACAACTGTAAGACACTTCATAACAAAATAAAAACAACAAAAAACACCACCAACAACCAAATCACCCCAAGGTATTTGACTATGTTATGACACCATTGTTTGAAAAGTAGAAGTGCTTTACTACTAAAATTCCTCTCTAAGCCACCTGGCAGTACTCCATGGACCACTAGTGGCCTGTGAATGACTATTTGAGAAATACTTAGAGAGTATTTGTTGGAAGAGTCCATATACACAGGTTTCCCATCTAGAAACAATAAACAGATGCACCAGCCTGGCTAAAATAAAGTTTATCATGTTAACGCTTTTATTCTAGAGATGAGAAGACTTCATAAAACAAAGGTCCTCTGTATTTGTAACATACAGTGTGCAGTGATTCACTGTAGTATTTTTCCCTGTCCTTGACACAGGCAGGAAAAATAACAGCCCAGAAACACAGACTTTATCTTCTTTGAAAGTATTAAATCTTAAATATTTTAAATTTTAAATCTTTATCTTCATCAGATGGATCCATAAATTTTGCTAATTTCTGAGTCTTCTCATGTACGCAATATTCCCAAAGCCTTGATGGGAAGATCTTGACTATACTATAACAATTCTGGACTGTTTTTTAATGCTGCCTATAGATCTTCAATTTAAACTTGATATTTTAAACATGTCTTTATGTCTATTATTGATCAGTACTTATTTAAAATACCATCTAACATCCACGGAAAACAATTAACATATTGCCTGCATAATCTCTCTTGAACAGATGCTTATTAGAATGGATTTATAGTGGATTCATTTTACAGCTGTTAAGAATTTCCTCACTGTAAAAACATTTAAGCACGGTAAAAGTAATCAAGATAATAGCAGTGGTTCCTTTAACTCAGATGACACATATATTCTCTATAAGAAAAGTAAGAGAATTTAAAAGTGCTCATAATCTCACTGTTACTCCTGCAGTTCACCCTCCAGCAATGAAGTACAGAGAGGGGTCGAGAAAATTCTGTTGTTCAGTATATTTAGTAACCACTTATACACACAAGTTACTAACTTTTAAAACTAGTGATACTACGGCTTTATCTCCTCCCTTGCTGCTAATTCTTCCTTGCCCACCTTCTCCCCCTTTCCCCAGAATACAATTACAATTCAAGAGAAGAAGTTTGGAGTCAAATCCAACAAGACAGACAAGTCACCATCTCAGATCCGTAAGGGTGAGGTGAAACAAGGAAAGAGGAGTGTGACAATGAAGAAAACTATTTAACTAGCTAATAAACAAACTCTGCAGCTCAGAAACTAAGAACAGTACTAACTGCACATTTAGTGTTAATATCTCAAACTTAGTTATAAATTGTCTCAACAGCGGTTCAACAGCTGCTCCTCAGGGCATCATCTCTTCGGCTGTTCCTCCCAGTACACAAGACCAGCAGGATGATGATTCACCAGCTGCTAATGCACAACTTCAGCAAAGTGACAGCTGCCTGACTCCTCCACCTCCCACCCCAGAGGGTCAGCAGGAGTGTCTCAAGCCCACTGATTCTAAGGTGGAGTCTCAACTCTCAAGCAGCTCACCAGCGCCCTCTCCCAACCAGGGTTGTGGACAGGATCTCAGAAACTCAGACAAGGAATAACTGAAGGTATTTCATACCAGTTCACATTCTCAACAGAGATTAAGTAGTAGTATAAAATAAAAAGGAAATAATACCTAAATGGTACTAGATATTGGGTACTGTCCAACAGTGGACCGAGATAGAACCCTGAGAACTTTTTTCTCAAACAAATGAAAATCCCACAGTTTAGAAAATAAATGAAGGCATATTAATATCTTTAAATTTAAGATATTATAAGATATATGCATGTTATGCAGTAATTAAAAAATATAAACTTGTTCTGAAGAATACAAGTAGAGTTCCCCTTAGTTAGAAAAAAGCATTATTTAAAGTAATACCAAAAGAATGTATATGAAGAGTCTTAATCCCCTTCCTTTCACCTTGACAGCTGAGGGAAAACTGCTTTAAACGATCAGAGAAAGCTATTGTATATTAATGTAAAAAGGGATATTGATATGAAAAGAGAATAGAAAGATTTCCTAGTGAAATGAACACTATAGCCAGCACAGGATTAGAAAGCCCAGGGCCATGTGAGCAGAGAAGAAGAAATAAAATAGGTATTAAAGGACACTATTAAATTGGAAAGAAGAAAACATTCTTAAGGCAATGAAACTGCAACTCTCAAGATGTCCACAGCAAAGAAGCAGCTGATTTTTAACCTCTGAAAGTTGAAAAGGCAACGGAAGAAGTCATGTTCCCTTGTAGATCAGGGAGAAGGCTTTTGTGGGGGCTGGGGTAAAAATTAAGTGATTTGCTATCCTTTTTCATCTTTCATGTCTAACAATTCCTCGTAGATAGGATCAGGAAGAAAGCAGGTATGAAATATGTTAGTTCTAGCTCATGTTATTAACTACCATCTATAAAATGTAACAGAAGGATGCTTATGTACATTTTGTATATGTAACTATGTACAGCATATATAAGAATGTATATAGTTAATCATATTTTTGAAGTGAATTTCTATCAAATAAAATGAAACATTACTATGTCTTAGTTCTGTTTTACTGCCCTTACTGTCTTCTGGGCCTTTTCTTACATTAGCCTCTGTTGTACACTCTAAAAAGTTGGGATTTTTCTCTCACTTGTTTTTTTCTTTTTCTCTTTTTTTCTTTAATAACTCTTCTGAAGCCAGCTTCTGTAAAGCTTGTCAGTTTTAGTTGGGGAAGGAGTTGGCCAACCTTAGAAGTGTTCTCTAATCTTAAAGTTACCACAGCCAATATTGCACAGCTGCAGCTGTTTGGGAGGTGTTGAAGCACTTGGGCAGGTACACAGAGCCCAACAAGAGCAGCTGCTCTCCCTGTCACTGGTGCAGCACTGCAGATCATGCTGTATTTTGTGCTTGTCTATTCTGCTGACTTGGTAAGTTGTCCAAGGAAAAAAACCAGTGGGGCTGGCAGCTCACGACAAGGAGTAAACAAGGCTTTTCATGGTAGGGTGGAGGGCCTACTACTAGGCATGGGCCAGGGAGAGACGTGGGTGTTCTGGACAAAAGGAACAGCATAAAGAAGGAGATATTTTAATGTTTTACCAAAGGGTAAAAAGGGAGAAAGCTGCAAAGAGCCAGTTCCTTCCGCTCTCCTAAAGTATAGAACTGATGTTATCCCGCTGGATAAAAGAAGATAAAAAAAGCTTTTACATAACTACCCAATTAACAAAAGAGCCATATTCCTTGCAGTATGACCAGAAAAGAAGAAAATACAACTGCTTTTCCAAAATGACCCTGACAAACTCTGAGAACACAAAATTGAAGCCTAGATAGTCACAGATTAGAAACTTCAGAAGTAAAGAAAGGGAGAGTGTTAGGATCCAATTATTAAAGTTATTAGAGAGATTCCTCTGCCGGAAATAAGGTGCAAGCGAGACCACATGCCAAAGTCAATAGTATGGATTTTATTTAGCAGTAAATGAAGGGTTCAAGGAGGGAGAGAGAGATAGGGGAAAGGAGGGGATGGAGGGGTGAGAGTGACAGTGAAACAGATTAAGTAGAAAAAAGATATCACCACTCCATAGATTCTGACAACACCCGTTTGGTCCTTTCCTTCTGGTCTTCTCTGTATCTGCCAAGTGGTGGGGGGAAAGAGTCCAGAAAACTCTGTGTTCATGGGGTTTATATTATGTGGAGGCTACATGGAAACGCTCCCTGTACCTCCCCTGGATGATGTAATACTGGATCATGGGACATTTCACGAGTCTTTGACACCTTCTAAGATGTTTCAGCTGTCACTTATGTCAGTGTAGTTGAATCAGACAAGCCCCCTTTTATGGTCCATCATCCGAGATGAACAGCTCAGGCTACATGTGAATGTCTTCGGTACTTCCCAGAGGGTTTTTACAGCTGAGTCATCATGTAAGGGAGGACATTGGCATGACAAGGACTATCCCACCTTGCAGGATTTGCCTCTTATCAGCCTCTTCTCTTATCTTGGAGTCCAGTTTGTAGCTGCAGGTATGCATACCCTTCTGCACCTGGGATGCCACTCTGTGCATCACCAGCAAAGCAGCCATCCAAGTGTGTGAGCCATCAGCACCAGTCTCTTACAGCACCTGGTAGTTACTGCAGGTGTTTGAATATTAGCAGTACAACCTCTTACACTTGTGGATACATACTTCTCCTTTCACCTGCAATAGTTGGTCAATGGTACCTCCTTATCTCAAGGTCCTTTTGCAGTCCAAATTAGTAGGCATATTTAGAGAGGGGTGGGTTTTGGTAGATGAGCAGCTGCTTCTTTGCAGTTTGTTACAGTGGACAGAAGTCTTTTGGTGATCTCAAAAATGCTTAAGCCGTTAACCATTTCAGTCTCTGTCAGAAAGCTCTGACAGGAAGCATAATGCTGCTTCTCCCAAAATTTGCACTAAAATCAAAATTATTGGTGATAGGTAAATGTGTGGTGTCCCAAAGTGTAAAATTCTTCTTATAAGAGTGACAGAGGACATGTTAGTTGCAGTCCTTACAACTGGAGAAGGCTGATGGCTACTGCAGAAGAAACTAACAGCTGTATGACTGTATGGCATTTAATAACTGTAGAGTTATTCCTGTAGAGTTACTACTGAAAAGGTAAGCAATACTAAAAGTAATATTTTGAACTATTTATTTCTATTAGTGCATATTAGATTGAATTTGAAGGTTACCATGGAAAAGAATTTGGTCATTGTTTATCATGAAGTGCTCAGAAGAGCACTTGCTTTCTAAGGCAGGAAGAATATTGAGATCTGTGAAGAATGGGATAAAGACCTTACTGAAAAACTATACATTAAATCAGGGGGTTTAATGCATGCCAAGTTCATGTCTCCTCTTATTAGGGTATACAAATAGTAGTCAAAAAATCCTGAATTTCCTAGATTAAGAATAAGTGGCAGTATGCCATGTTGATACAAGAGGGAAATCAATGGTTAAAAGGGCAATCAATGTTTCACTTACTTTAGGGAGCAAAGAGAGAAACAAGGATGTTTAAATACATTCGAATTCAGATCACAGAATCATAGAATGGTTTGGGTTGGAAGGGGCCTTGAAGATCATCTAGTTCCAGCCCCCCTGTCATGGGCAGGAACAGCTTTCACTAGGCCAAGCTTCTCAAACCCCCATCCAACCTGGCCTTGAACAGTTCCAGGGATGGGGTATCCACAATTTTTCTGGGGAACCTGTTCCAGTGCCTCACCACCTTCAAGTAAAGAAGTTCTTCCTAATACCTAATCTAAACCTACCCTATAATTAAGGACACATAGTGACAATGTGTCCTTATACTCATCATGGCTAGGCTTCGCGAACGAAGATTTGGGAAGGACTCTACCCACACTTGCTACAAGTGTGCTGGTAGCTAAAAATGCCAATGTGAGATAGACAAGTCCGGTTGCAAAAGGCACAGCGGAAAGACTCCTTAGGTGGTATCGACAAGACACGGTTCTTTCTGCATTGTCTTTTCTCCTCCAGAGTGATCCTGCGTGCGTTCTCAAAAGCATCAGCAGCGTTATAGATGGTGTGTCTCCAGGCCTTCCGATTGGAGGCCAGAGTAGACCAATGATGATGATCGATATGGCCAAGGCTGAGATGTTGTTTCAGGGAGTCCTTGTATCTCCTCTTCAGGGCTCCTCTCTTGCAGCAGCCAGAGGCAAGTTCACCATAGAGCATGATCTTAGGGAGGCGGTGGTCCTTCATCCTGGAGCCAATCTTAGGGAGGTGGTGGTCCTTCATCCTGGAGATGTGTCCTGCCCAACGCAGCTGTGTTCTCAGCAACATGGCCTCAATGCTTGTGACTGCTGCTTGTTCTAGAACAGATGTATTAGTCACATAATCTGACCGGTATGTAGTGACTATGTGGAATTATTTGCTAGAGAGCACTACTGAGTTTATAAAGACAGTCTGCTCAGAAACAGCTTCCATATTCTATATGATACCTAGACCTCATTTGGATGTTTGAACTTAGAGATCTTAGCTCATGAAGAGCTTATGAAAACTGCCTTTCCTCGCCTTGCCTCCCCTCTCCTTCCCTTCCCAACAAGCTCTGCATAAGGACATTCCTAAGCTGGCTCAAAGTCTGAAAACTGTGCTTTCCATGGAAGTAGATGAAATACACAAATTCTGGAATTCTGAGTTTTGTTAGCATATTGGAAATGCTGACATAATTGCATGGCAATTCCCTTACTATTTTTTTTCCTTAACTGTATTGTTTACATACAAGGAGGAATTTTGGATTGGTCATTGCATGAGTAAACCTTTACGTCAATTACTACTGAAAAGTTCATATTCAAATTAATGTCATCTTCATAGGGTCTCAGAGTTTGGAAAAATAATACCACCTTGCTTTTTTAGTAACTTGTTACTATGGCTCCTCATATTATCTATTCTCAAGAATCAGAAGTTATGAAATGAAAAAGCAAGCCACAAACAGAATGACTGCTGTCAACATTCTGTTAGCAAATTTAAGTTATAAATGCAAAATATTAAAGTTTAAGCTGCAACAATGACTTTAATTTTCCAAGTGGTAGTCAAGTTTCCATTATTTTAGCAATTAAATAAAACTGGTCAAATCAGTGTTGTTTATACAGTTCAACAAGGGTGATTAAGTTGTACGAACTTGTTAATGAGTATATAACTGGTAGATATAACTAGCAGTTCAGTAGATCCATCTCCTGTCATAAAGCTGTTTTTTCATTCATATATGGAAAAGGCTTTAAACTAACATTAGTAACTCTATGTTTTCAAGAAAAATAAGTGCACCAAATTAACGCTTACATTAAATACCACATGATATGTTATTGCTGATAGTTGTTTATTCACAAAGCTCACATAACACCAAAATTTAACATGCAACCCTGAATTCTTTCTCTCCTGTGTATATAGGATTTGATAAGCACACACCAGTGAAGTGCTTTGTGGGTGTGCAACCAGCTCTTTTATACCAACACAGAACTCATAGGTGACATTTACACTGTTCAGCTTACTCAAAGCCAGTGCATTGAGTAAAGATGATTCATACTGACTTTTGCTTCAGGTGGCTAGAAGTCACCAAACATGACCAAACATGAGGAAGCAGGAGAGTAGTAGCAGATAAATAGCAAGAATCATGGGCATGGGGGTCTGAGTGGTGTTTTCTTGACCCTGCCAGTGAGGGGAAATGAGGAGAAGGGCACTAATAGGACAAGTCAATAATTGTTTTCAGAACCTGTGTTGGTGACAGAGATTTGAGTTGTATGACCATGGGACCATGCTAGCAGATCACTGTCTGCTTGAGAGAGGTGAGAGCCACCTCACTAAGCAGGGCAAAGCTATTTTTATTAGTAGGATCACTGATTACATAAGGAAGGCTTTAAACTAAGAAGTAAGGGAGAGGGAGAGAGTAACCAGCAGCCCTGTGAGGGATTGATGGACACAGAGAAAAGCAAAGGGCATAGGGTGGTGTGACAGGAACACACAAAACAATAAGATGGGGCTTAAGAGGGCTTAAGAGGGCTCACCTTCTTTGAGCAAAGAAATGTCTACAAAACATCATAATGGA